CATCCGCGCCCCGACACCCGAGCACGTCCAGCAGTTAAAATTACTCCATGGGCCAATGGTTGTTCCGGTGGTCCACTTGTGGCATTCCTTGTATAGTCGCGGTGCGCGCCACGCTTCACTTCGGTCCAAATACGGCTGCGGGGCCAATTTTTTTTTTGCCCCTTAGTCCAACGCTGCGGCTTCTTCCAGCTGGGTGTTTTTGTCCGTGGTGGTTCGGGAAAGGGTCGGAATCGGAAGAACGGCAATCGGCTGCCCGCCACAGGCCTGTGGTGTTTGGGAATTTGGTGGCGAATTCGGCAATGGCATGCCCAAAGTAAGCCGTCGCGATTAACAAAGCGCTTAACCCAAAATGCCGCCAGTCCTCTGAGCCTGCATCGTCGGCCACTGACGGCCGCGTCCCGTGCGCCAGGCCACCCCTTCGTTTGCAAACCTCGTGCCGTTTGTTTCAAGCCGCCATGCACCGTGCAAAGTTTAGGACCGGCTTGGCGACGGGACATACAACAGCGCACACGGGAAAAAAAAAAACAGTGGAGCCCCACCCGCGCATCCCAAGAAACCACGAAGCCAAAAAACCAGGAAACCAAGAAGCAACGCAGCAAACAGAAAAACAAAAACAAAACAACAACAAAAAATCAACCATGGACATCCATGGACCTTCTTCTGCATAATTATGGGTGCCCGCGATGCTGTTGAACAGCATTGGTTTTCTGCACATGTCGTTCTTCAAAAGTAAGAGTACAAGATCCCAAATTGGATCACTGGTGTTGACATTGATTTGTCCAAGGCCTAGGGTGTGAACGGGGCTGAGCTGTGGCGTGTCTTGCAACATAGGCGCTCTCCGCATGGTCGGGTCGCTGACCAAATATCATAATCGATGGCCATGGAAAGACGTGGGAGCAAAAACATTCAACGTTGGCGCCACAACACGCAACAACGCAACACGAGAATCATTTTGTTTTTTTTAAATCTCATTTTGCTGTTCATGCCCCGTATGCATCGGTGTCTATCTATCCGTCCCATGCAGCCGCAGATACGGATATGGGAACATTGGATATTGCCCCACGTCAATGCAATATCTATCTATCCCGCTTTCCAGGCCGAAAGATAGGATATGGGACATGCCCCCTGCGCGGCAGTATGTATCTATCCGTAGCCATTTTGGCTAACAATTTATTTAATCACACATTTCAACAGCAGCACGCATCAGACGCAAATTGCACACAGACACATGTTCTCATGACGTCTTCCGAAGGTAATTCGGTTGCACGTTTCAACAACATTATCTGTTAGCACCGCATGACCACCTGACTGACACACATATTTGCGTTGATTTGTGCCATGACCTAGCTCCGCTGCAGAAGCGGGATAATAAGTATTCACACATCCATTGCGCATACCTCGTGCGTGTCCCTGCCGCACGGCCTGTTTGCACAAGCCATGCCACGAGAAATGAGCCGCACGCCTGTCATCCGGCGGTGCACACGCACTAGCACACCAATTCGTCGCTCATTGGCAAACGGTGCGAGTGATCGGGCTTCAACGGAATCCCCAATCATTCATGACAGCCATTTCAATGAAAGCGTGCAAACCACGCCTGGTATGGCTAATGGGGATGGAGAAGGGTTTGCAACGCCCCACCGTGAAACAGCAGAAGATGTTGGCACGCGATCTTGTCCAATTTGTTGCTGTGACCTTGCCCCTGGTGGTGATGCCTTGTGGACATGGCCATGTTCGTGTCATCTGGATTTGCACCTTAACTGCGCAGTGCAAATGCGTGTCCGTGAACCTCGCCCACGCTGCCCGCACTGTCGCATGGAATGGCCTGGGGATGTTGCCGATCGCCAGCTTATTGAGGCTTGCGAGTCTGCTGGTGTGCCATTCATTCGCAACTGGCAGCAGGTGCCCGCACAAGCGGAATCGGAGGATTTGGTCATGCCGGATGAACCCCGTGATTTGGTTTTGCTGTGCTGCGAGCGCTACATTGCCATGAACATCACAGCTGCCAGTCGGCGCATGACATGGGCACCCGTTCAAAGGTTTGTAAGTGACAGCAGCGGATGTCGCATACATGCCGGTTGGCTGGGAAATTGGGTTTGCAACACATGTGGTCGCATGTTCACTCAAGACGATGACAGTCTGAGGACACTTCGCACTAGCCATTCGTGTGCCCTTGAAGGCAATTGCCGTTTGTGTCTTGATTTTTCCAATGAATCATACACCAGCCATTTTGGCTCAAGTTTTTTTTTTTCCCGTAGTGGTTGTTCTGGGTAGGGCTTCTTTTGCTGCCGCGTGGAACTTGTGTCCCTAACACTTGGTGCTGTGCAAGTGCAGGCGGCGCTGGATAGGGCACGTGGATTGCTGGTGCTTTTCGAGGCTGACGTGCAAGCAGCGGGGAGCCGTGAAGGGGCTGGCGCGTTCGGCCGCGCGAACGCGACGGGTTCTGGCGAGGTCACCTGCACGGGTGCCACGGTGGAACCGGCGGGCTGGCGGCTCCGGATGGGGTGCTCCCTCTCCGCGGGCAGCCGGATGGGCGCGCCGCGGCGGAGGAGGAGGCGGCGTGGGAGGAC